GTGCGTGCGTGCGTACGTGTGCGTGTGCGACAATGTGTATACGATTCGCTGAATCATTCGTCATACGCGAATACGTTGTCTCTTTCATCTGTGTGATAGATAGATATTATACTGCAACTATCATAGCGTGATATATGCGTCGACGATACGGTTAGAATAGCGGCGATAACGAAAACAAGGTGACGATAACCTTGCGATCGGGCGGGTAAATAATGATCGCGGTTGAAGGTCGACTCGGCTTGGGCAATTTTACAGATGGAAAGAAAGGCGGAAATTGTTTCGAAAGAAGATACGTACGCGTCGTATTTTCAAATTCCTCAATGTCCTGGAAACAGCACTCCAATGCGGCGAGGGGACTGCATTTTCCTTCAGAGTGCCCTTGCTCAGGTAGCAATCATCCGTAAAGTGATTGTTGCAGATGAAAAACTTCATAGACCGTAAAACATCGAGATCACTCCCAATTAGGTCCACGTGACCACTGTTGATCAACCACCTCACACAGAGACCGGTATCGCAAACGGGAAGTTCGTGAAGTATTTGCTCCTTCTCCCGTGTGTCGACACAATCGATGTATCTACATTTCGTTACTTCCTCCATTACTCGGGATCTCGAACAGCTCGCTGAGTAACGGCAGCAATGATCGAGCAGTTTGCCTATTTCCAGGCACAAAAGCTTCAATTTTATTATCTTCGGAAAAAGTTGAAAAGCTTTGTATATTTAAGATAGGTTAGGTATTTAAGGTAATTAAGGCGCGAAAAGCAAAACTGGCCAACGTGCCCGCCATCTCTCGGCACCTATTGACAACTAATTGTAGATGGACTGTACGTTAGCTTTGTCCGTTTTCATCCGCCTGTAAATCTGTGGCGCTCCGTGAAACGAATTACAAGTACGAATTACGTTGTTGCGTATCCTCGTCGATCGTCGCGCCATTATACGCAGAGTATATTGAATCAAGTTGGTGTCGACGAAACGAAAACGCCAACATCGAGACGAAAAGGAACAATCGGAAGAAGATTTCCAAGTCAAATGTTGCAAAACGTTTGCAAACGACGAAAGTGCAGCTTGTGCAATATTCTCCAAATTTTCGTTAATGATTGTACGTAACGCAGCGATGACGTTGATGACGAGTACGAATGTACGAATAGCTTCCAAGCGTATTCATCAGCTTGGAATTTTCATTTCAGACAAGGAAATGAACTTTAAGAAATTACTATCTATCTCACGCTGTATATTTTTTTTTAATAAATAGCATCAAACTATCGATACGATGATTGATCCGACGACAATTTATAAATCCATGTACGTAAATAGTTTGCAAACGTTTCGATAGATTGCTACACGTCGTACGTTGCGATATTAAATAGGGACTATAGTCGGGA